AGAATAGTAATTGAAATTTTACTTAATTTTTTAAAAACAAAATTTCGTCGAAAATTAATTAGAAATGAATAAAGGCTCGTTTGAATGAAAATGGATCTTGCCAAAGAATAGGAATTGAAAATTTACACAATTTTTTAAAACCGACTTTTTGTTGAAAAATCAATAAAGGCTTCGTTTGAGCGAAAATGTATTTTTCCAAAGAATAGGAATTGAAATTTTACATAATTATTTAAAAATGTGTTTTCGTCGAGAAATGAATAAAGGCTTCATTTGAGCGAAAATGGATCATGTTGATTTTAGTCTTACTGCTGTATTAAAATACTGTATATATTAGTCGCCTGATCTTATTTAGGGTGTTCTCAAGCGCCTTAATCAATGGGGCAAAAAGCGTCTGGAAATAAAATTTATTTAGCGGAAAATAATTTAAATTAAATCAAGCGCGTTTATCATTAAGATGAATATGCATAATTGATAAAGCTTATTTCGTAAATATGACATTTTTATTAATAAAAAGATTGAAATGAAAATATCATTTTTAAATCAACAAACTTTTTACAACAAACGTCCTTTTTTTTATACCTGTCTTGAAAATTTTACAATCAATTGAGTTTTCAAAAAGACCGCACAAGTAACATTGCCATGGATCATTACGTTCAGCGACGAATTATTATTTTACTTTCTCGCACTAAACGTTTTTATGAATTCTAAAAAAAAACCAGGAGGCTCAAAAAACAATATGTTTTGTTGTTTAATACTTCAGAAGAGGTAGAATCCGTATCCGAAGCTGAATCATCATTAGAAACTGTTTCTAAATTATTCGACGCCTTTGACAAAAAAAAAAAAAAAAATTATTATTAAATTATTATGTTTCTAAATAAATAAGCGAATAACACCTCTTTGTATTCAATAGCAGCTTTATTTGCAACTAATGGATTCATAAAAAATGGAGAGGCGGGATATTGTTGTTGAATAACATATTATAATTAGTGAAGTCGGTAAACGGAACAACAGGGGCTGCTGAAGTTGATGCTTCGCCAGAATATTTTCGATAATTCACGGCATTTGCTTCTTGTTTAACGGTTGGTTTTGTTTTTTTATTTTTCGCTTTTTATTTTTCAATTTTTTTATTTTTTTTGACGAATAATAAAAGAACTGCTCAAATGAGCACTATTACGATCACTAATTAATCACATCGAAGAGCTTGAGAAGATTTCAATTACGTCATAAATCACATATTCGAATTCTCAATAAAAATTTTATGTAAATATAATTTTGCTTGAGTATCACTTGCTAACCACATCTAGATTGACGCCACCCTTAGCTTGCGAAATCTGATCAAGATATAAAATCTTATCAGATATATATACAGTATATTATATGAGATTACATATCTATTAGGTTTTAAACCAAATCTGGAAAAAATATTGAAAGCCAAAAGTCTCATTTCTCTTGCGTTCATCGGTCAGAAATAGCAAAAGCATGTTATTTTTTTTTAATGATGTAAAGTTATTAACATATCATACCTAATTATAATTTAAAATTTTCCTAGATAAGACTGATTTAGAAAATGTAACTTATGTCATCTTAAATATACATGCAAAGCCTATTGAAATACAAAGGAGACTTCTACAAATATTGCATCTAAAAAGCTTTCACAAAGCATCATATAAATCAACAGGTAAGTAGATCGAGTAATGCAAAATCTTGTATGAAACTTTTTTTTTTTTTTTGCTATGATAGAATTTTTTTGCTCGGCTGAAATCTGTGCAATGTTAATCATTCAATCTGAGATAATCAAAATATGAACACTCTTTTGTTGCCCACGAAAAATAAGTGGGCAATTGAAAAAAAATCAACAGATGAAAACAGATGACGAGGCTAAATTAGCCAATCAAATCTATTAAAAGTGATAAAATTTTTAATTGAAAAAAAAATTTAATTTTGACGTACGACAAGAATGAAATAAAAGATCAGTATAATAGGAAATGCTCGCAAACTTAAATTATCTAAAAGTCCTTTGATTGGCTGTGTAATGAAACTTACATTTTCATTCATTGAATTTAATCGGTGAGTATTAACATATCCGGATATTCAACGGACGTGTATTCAGATATTCGGATATGTCATTCACCGGATCAGACCTCTATCCGTGCGGGGTTACATAAAACCAATAGATAAGCTCCGAACTTTTTTCAGCTACACGTTATTATAACTTATTTTAAGTAACTTTATGAAAAATATCTGGATGTGTAGATAAGTGCTTTGGTGTGTCTGTTTTGAATTCATAATTTCATTTCTCCAGCATATGAAATTTCTTGTTTTGAAATAACAATATAAAATATATAAAGTATAAAATTATAATGAATATTGATTTATTATGATTATTTTATCGTTATTACTTTACCATTATATAAAAAATTACTGTCAAACTTAATATTAATTAACTGGAATTTTCATTTTTGGCAGCCAATAGAAAAACATTGATTAATCAGAACTGTTGTTATGTTTACACATTTTTAGGACTCTTCATTATGAAAGTGTTATCGATTCGAAAATTTCAGAAGTCGAAACATATCGATATGTTAAGCGCATCCGTTTTTAATGCAAGATACCGATACAGCACGAACGTATAAAAATTTCTTAATTTAGAATGAATTGAAAGCCACTCTTTCTATATTAGTTCACTATCAAGTGACTTTTTAAAATCGACTTTGAGTCGGCTTAAAAGCTCGACTAAACAATCGACTCAAAAATGACTAATCGGAGCATTTTAACATTCCTATTTTATTATGTGATATCTTTATAATATTATATAAGCTTATATGCTGAAGATTGATTCGAATTTTTCATTTTGTGTCGTGTTTAACCCTGTTTTAACAATCCAAACTTGTACTTATGTACGTGAATCCTAATCAATACTAATCAGAAAGAGTCTTCATACTATTTTTCATTTAGATATAATAAATGAACCTTAATACATAATAGAAATCAGTTGTTATATATATTAGTTGAATGTCTTCAATAATTGATTAGTTCAAATAAAATTATATATATATATATATTGTTTATTTAACACTATGGCGTCTTTTAGTGAATGACATGTGTAATTATGATCAGTTTCGTCTATGAATAACGAAATGAAAAAGTAAATATGTACAAAACGAAATCATGATTTAATATATAAAAACACAAAGTAGCAAGAATAGCAATAGATTATTTCCTACGCATTTGTACAAAATCAAATAGAAATTTGCCAGACTATCATCACCAATAAACCTAACAGTTCAATAATAATAAAAAATAAAACGAATTTTTTTTTTAAATATAAAATCCAGATTACAAAATAACCAACAATTAATGTGAATCCAATATATCCAAATTATTCAATTTTGTAATAATCTCATGAAATTGGGTGTCTTTCTGTTGCGATAATATATTATTATTAGACGTAATTATCTTATCAGATACCGATGAAAATCTTACTTGCATATCATTGCCGATAGGGTTGATCTCGCCGTTGCCAAAACAAGTTTTCTGATGTTCAACATCGTGATTATAATAAAAATTCTTAAGGTATCCATCATTATTTTGATTATTATAAAGATCATTTTCATAATTTTTGTTATTAATAATCAAATCGTTAAACGTTGGTGTAAGATTTAATTGAGTCGATGTATTGAAAATAGGTAATGAATCATAATTACAAGTATTCAGAGTAATTAAATGTGAGAAGTCAGGATTAGGTGGATTATGTGAATACGACATAATGATATCATACGGTTTTGAACGTGTTGGAGTCGATGCGCCTGAGGATAATGGTGAAGGAATATTTTGAACAAATGACGCGGATGGTTGATATCCATATCCGTACTGGTTGTGGTAGCCATATTGACTGGGTATTCTTTGAATTTGTTGATTGTGATAAAGATATTCATGATTATTATAAGTGTTATTTAATAATTCTTTTTCATAGTGACTGTCAGTTAATACAAGTGGAGTTATAGGTGTTAAAGGGCTTGAAACAGGACGCAGTATAGGACTTGGACATGGACTAGCATTTGGACTCATGTTTGGTGGTGATAGAGAGATAAGGTGAACATCCATAACATTAGAAGAATGGATTACATCGTCGGCCGTTGTGATTAAGTGGCTCAGAACATTTGGACATATTTTACGGTCTGGAGTTGTGTAAGCGTGCGCAGAAGATTGCGAAGATGAATTATTATTCATCTTTGGTCTTATTGAGAATAACAATATTTGTATACTGTAAAAATAGCTGTAAATATTTTTGCGTTAGAACAATGTAACTGACGACGCCCACCAAGTTATTTTGGAGAAAGCTGGTGACGATTTACAAAAGAAAAAAAAAAAACAATCTTTTATATCATCAATGCTGGAATTAAATCACAGCTATATATATATTTATTGTACTCATTTTGTGTATGTATGTTCCAAAAAAATATTGTGGGGTAATTGACATTGAGTACATTGTACATCAGTGACGTAATATAAATTCCTTAAAAAATTTTTTTCTCATTATCGTTATATATAACCACTGATTTGTGTAGAAATATCCCCACACGCATACAATATATACAATATGCCAGCTCCCCACAAATAAAAAACGCACCTTTAAGTTGTCACAAAAATAAAATAAAATAAAATAAAAGTAAAATAGAATAAAAAAAAAACATACGTACAGTACGTATGTACATACATACGTACTATGTACGTACGTACTTAGCTGTTAATTGCTTCTAACTAAATGTTTGTATTACCGTTCAAAATATATTAGTGTATATGACTGCCTTAAAGAGTCATATATGGCGTTGGTCAAAGCAATTGGTCTTATTTATTACAAAAGCTTTGTCACGTTTCAAATCTTAGGTATAGTATATTTCTCTATACGTACATACGTACATGTATGTACATATGAGGTAGTTAATAGTTAAAGCAAGGGTCTTAATCCTATCTGCAATTTTGTCCGACTTTACCCTGGACTTCTTACCATCCTGAGCAATTTATTTGTTCTATTCCGAGCAATTATTTCCTTTTGCAGATAAAAAAAAGATGTATATATATTATATACTGTTTTATACAATTAGATTAGTTAGATTGTTGTTATTAGACTTATTATTTTATTATATTGTACTTACTCAAATTAGACATATTGTAGTCTAATTAATTTTTATTGTCTCCGTTTATACACGTGATCATATTATGTATGTTCGGGTAATAACACAAATTACGTAAACATTTACATATATATACTGTAATGCTATATAAATTAATCCTTTTGTAGTATTGCAATTTGAATATATAAAAATACAATCTTGATATTATTATATTATTTTAGTTTTAACTATGTATTATAAATTTTATAAAGTTGATTTTTATATAATTATGATTTTTTAAATTACTAAATTTTGTTTTTTAAATTAGTAATTATATCAAGGTTTGATTATATATTATTATATTATTATTTAATTATATACGTATATACAGTATACAGTATTATAAATTAAATAATAGCAAATTAAAGTATTTAATTTTAGTTTTAACTTTTTAAAATAGAATTTTTTGGTAATAATCAAAGAAGCAAATTAGCAATAATTTAATTTTAAACTAATTATTGCTTAATTAATATTAATTTTTGGGGGGAGATATAAAGGTAAAATCTTGCTTATATCTTTATTAAGTAGTTTTTATAAGTAGTCAATTAGAAAAAAACTAAATAAAACTCAATTTATATACAAATAAATAAATATAAGCTACATGCAAGAATAAAAGCTTAGATTAATTATTTATTTGTACTCTATCTACTAGAGTAGTCAAACTTATTTAGATTTGAATAGTTAAAAAATAATTAGTAGAAATACTAAACTGAATTCACTTAGTAGACTAGATATTAAATTGTAATTAGCAAGCCTAGCTAGTAGACAAGAATTTAAATCAGAATATAGTTGATTAAGTATATTGTATAGTAGTTATATATAAATATATTATAGGTTTTAGTGTGAAGATGAGAAAGAAGTTGTTAACAAAGTTGAATAAGTACAAGATTCAAGAATATTTGGTATACTTTTTTTCAAGTAGAGAAGTTAATACAGTATGTCTTCATATTTGATTATAATTTCAAACAATATATTTACTAAAATCTATTAATTTTTTTATTATAAAAAAACTAATATTAATTAAAAAATAATAATATAATCAAGTTTTTATATATTATTATACTGTAAAAGAAGCTTTATTAAAAAAAAATTTTTTTTTTAATAACTATATACTATATTTATTAGAAGTATAATTTGGCTAATATTAATATTTAAACTAAATATTAGCTACTTCAAGAGTGCTTAAATATGATTATTATGCTGATATTTGCTAACAGACTTTATATATAGTACTACTTGTATTTACAAGCTGCTTTAGCATAGTATTTAGCTACTATATTAAAACTATATTTATTCTTTTCTAATTCTTTCTTCTTTTTAAAAAATAGCTAATAATTTAAAAAAGAAGGATTTTTAAAAAAACAAATTCAGAAAACAATCAGAAAAAACAAAAAAAAAACTAAATTATAATAGCACTATTATTGCTTATACAGGTTTAAAAAATTATATATTATATATATAACTAACTACTAATTTAATCTAGCTTTAATCTATAATATATATAATCTTATTCTTTTCAGCTTAAAGAAAGAAGAGAATTTTTGACAACAGATTATAAAAATAATCAAAAAAAGTAAAAAAACAAAAAACAAAAAAAAATAAAGCAAATTCTAGTTAGGGGGCTTTCAGAAATCAGCTGATTTGAGGTGGGTAGGTGGGTCAGCTGGAGTATCAGGTGTAATTCTGGTCAGAATTATCAAGTTCTGGCCAAATTAAAAAAAACTTTTTAACTCAAATTATAAATTTAATATTAAACTTCAATAATAAATAACCTTTGTTCTACTAATCCAATTTTGATGATTTAACTACCAAAATGATCTCCACTCTGTGATGATCATTTTGGTAGTTAAATCATCAAAATCAGACCAGTAAAACAAAAGTTAATTATTATTGAAGTTTATTTATATATTTTTATATAAAATTTAAAATAAATATGAAATTTGATTGGCTAATGGGGTGTCAGGTGTGGGTGGATAGATCTGGCCTTAGGCAATCTATTAATAAAAATAAATCAGCTGATTTCTGGAAGTCTTTTAGGTGACTAAGCAAATTATATATTAAGTTGGTATATATTGTAATGAAAATTCTAGATATTCTATTGAGAATACCAAGAATTAGATCACAACACATGCTAGAGAAACAGTTTTTACATGGAAGGCATTTGGACAAAGATCGTTTTTGTAATTATTTTGTAATTATATATTTATTTAATAAAGAATTATAGAATTTGTATTGGACTTATACTGAACTTGTTATTACAAAAAGGTAAAAATACTGCTTTTAAATACATATTTTAGAAAAAAAGTAAAAAAAATCTAATAGGTTCTCTAAAAATAAGTAGGTTGTTTAGGTTATATAGGTTGTATAAACCTTACAAAGGTGTGGGTTGTATAGAATATATAGGTCTTGTATATGAATCATAAACTGTATATAGGCCGCAGTACTCCTATATAGAGTAAGTTAATTAATTGTAATACACAAATAAAAGAGATAATTAAAAAAATAGTCACATGCTATAAACTAACTACTATAATACTATGATACTATAATTTTTATTACATATTCCTCTCTTTAGAAAAGTGAAGTTTTCTGAGCTAAAATAAAAAAAAACAAATCCAACATAATAAAAATTTAACTCTAATATAAAAAATAAAGATAATAATAATAACTATACTAAAATTTGTAATTCATAGATTTTAGATATTTTGGTTTATCCATCACTAGAATAACATCACCTTCTCATTCTCTAAAATTTTATAATTCATAGGTTTTAGGTTCTTTGGTTTACCTGTAACCAGAATAATACTCCTACAAACTAAACTTAAAATAAACTTCTACAACTTAACTGTAATAATATAAAACTTGGAGTATATAAAATAAAAATAAAATAAAAATAAAATAAAAAAATAAAATAAAGTTAACAAAAAAATAATAAAGAAAAAAAGTTATAATTATCACTAATGTGTACATAATAAAACCTTCCAAGCATTAATATTCAAGAGTACGTGATAGAATTTTTCTAGCTTGAAATTATAACTTAGAAATTTTCTCACTACTAAGAGAAATAAAAATAAAACAATTGTGTATTTTCTAATTTAACAAAGAACAAAATGAATAAAAAGATAAACCATATACTATAAACAAACAACATTATAAAGGTAAAAGCAAGTAATACTATAACATGATAAAATAATATATAATAATCTAAAATAATTGAAGAATAAAAAGAAAAATTGTTAAATTGTTAAAAAAAAACTTTAACAAATAAAATAAAAACAAAAAACTAATAAATAAAATAATAAAAAAAATTTGTTATCCTAATATTTCACTTATAAAGGGCTATCCATATCTCTATAGAATCTGTATTCAGGAAGGTTAGCTCCTTTCTACTAGTCTCAAACCCTAGTTCTCTGCACTACAGATAGACATCCATACTGGCTATCCATATTAGGATAACTATTAAAATTTAAAATTGTACTTTTTAAAACTATTAATTGTATTACTATATTATCTAATCAAATAATATCAAGATCATGTTATTTAAACTTTAAAATATGTTAAAAGAAATTTTCCCAATATAAATAAAACAAAGAACAAGAAGAACAAAAGGAAAATTCAAATATGCAATGCACTACCAAAAGATTAAACAAGAAATATTCTAATAGAAAAGAGTAAGTGCAAAGTAGTAACATAATCATAGAATAAGAAATAACAACACTAATATAATATAATTATAGAAAAGAAGAAGAAAATAAAGAGTGGTAAGAAAAAGAAAAAAAAATAAAATAAAATAAGGGAGCTAACAATTATCAGGTGATTTTCTAGAGGGGGGGTCAAAAAATTTGAAATTTTATATATAAGACCTGATAATTTATATATTAAAAACTAGGAGGAGAATAAGCCTCTGATAAAAAAAAAGAAATAGCCAGGGCGGCCCCCAAAGTGTCAGTGACGTAATCATTTTTACCAATCAGATAATACTATATATTTAACAATAAGTGATGATTTAATATATATAGTATTACTTAATTGTTGAAGTGATTACATCACTGGCACTTTGGGAGGGCCGCTCTGGCTATTTCAAAAAAAAATCAGGTAATAAATGACACTGCTCTAAGATAAAATAAAATAAAATAAAATGTTAATTCACAATATAGGAGAGAAATATATATGTGGGAGTTAGAAGAAGAAAATGAAGAGTTGCGAAAGAAGTTAAAAGAAGAAAAAAAAAAAAAAAGCAAGAGAAAAATGATTTAGAAGTGAATTAAAAGAAGATGAAAGATGATATGAGATATTGTGGAAAGCAAAAAAGAAATTTAAATGAGAGTTTAATGCTTTAAGAGATAATATGGATAAGGTGTTAGGGATAATAAATACAAGGATAGAAATAGAGAAGGGTAGACAAAGGTTAAGAAAGGTATATGATGTGAATTCGGGTAAAGAAGACAAAAAAGAAATAGAAGAAGATGAAAAAATAGAAGAAGATGATAATAATAAAGATGATGATGATAATATAGATAAAGATTAAATAAAATAAAGAAAAATAAAATAAAATAAAATAAAATAAAAATTAAAAAGTTTTCCTTAAGTTATTAAAAATAATATATATATCTATTGTTATATTTTGTTATTAAAGTTTTTACTTCACTCTGGGTTCCAAAGTTTAGAAAACAAAGATAAATATTATACTTCTCTTTTTTCTTCTTTGTATGTAATTTTTCTAGCTTATTAGCCTTCTTTCACTTGTTTAGAGTTTTTCTGAACAATTATTATTCAAGATTAGGGCTTCTGGAACTTTTTAAAGACCAAGAAAGTCAAAATTTCGTTTGTTTTAGCGATTTTTGGCATTCGTAATGTCACCCACGTGATCATCACTTATATATATGTTGATTATCCACTAATCTTGATCTTTTTTTTTTATCGTTCCCTTTTCCATTTTATACCTTTTTAAATATATATATTTTTTAAATACAGTTATATCTCATATAATCACCCATTTTGTCTAGCACCTTTTGGTGATTATATAGAGGGGTGATTAAATAGAATTACCTCTATATAATCACACAATATAAAATAATTAAAATAATGTGATTTTAAAAAGGTAAATAATAATAAATAATTTTTTTATTTACAAATTTTAAATTCTATTTTTTCTAAAACTTTGATCAAGGATATCTTAACAACTGTTTGATCAAATTTAATAAAAATTTTTTTATTTAAATTCTTGAAATCTATAGAATTTAAATAAAAAAAATTTCATCAAATTTGATTAAGTGGTTGTTAAAATATTCTTGATCAAAGTTTTGTTAAAAGTTTTAATACAGCTTCTATTTGGTTTATTTGATAGATGTTTTAAATTTTTTCTAAAAACTTTGATCAAGTATATCTCAACAACCATTTAATCAATTTTAATAAACTTTTTTTTATTTAAATTCTTGAGATCTATAGAATTTAAATAAAAGAAAATTCATCAAATTTGATCAAGCGGTTGCTAAGATATTCGTGATCAAAGTTTTGTTAAAAATTTTGATACAGCTTCTATTTGGTTTATTTAATAGATATTTTAAATTTTTTCTAAAACTTTGATCAAGTATATCTCAACAACCGTTTGATCAAATTTAATAAACTTTTTTTTATTTAAATTCTTGAGATATATAGAATTTAAATAAAAAAATTTTCACCAAATTTGATCAAGCGGTCGCTAAGATATTCTTGATTAAAGTTTTGTTAAAAATTTTGGCACAGCTTCTATTTGGTTTATTTGATAGATGTTTTAAATTTTTTCTAAAACTTTGATCAAGGATATCTCAACAACTGTTTGATCAAATTTAATAAACTTTTTTTTATTTAAATTCTTGAGATATATAGAATTTAAATAAAAAAAATTTTATCAAATTTTATCAAGCAGTCACTGAGATATTCTTGATAAAAGTTTTGTTAAAAATTTTGGCACAGCTTCTATTTGGTTTATTTGATAGACATTTTAAATTTTTTTCAAAACATTGATCAAGGATATCTCAACAACTATTTGATCAAATTTAATAAACTTTTTTTTATTTAAATTCTTACGAACTATAGAATTTAAATAAAAAAATTTTCATTAAATTTGATCAAGTAGTTGCTGAGACACAGCTTCTATTTGATAGATGTTTTAAATTTTTTCTAAAATTTTAATCAAGGATATCTCAATAACTGCTTGATTAAATTTAATAAAAATTTTTTTATTTAAATACTTGAAATTTGTAAATTTTAAATAAAAATTTTTATTAATTTGTGATTTTAAAGAGGTATTTTTATTTAATTTAGTAAAAAAAACTTTTTAAAAAAATGTAATAGTAATAGTACTATGGTTGTGATTATATAGAGGTGTTTTTATTATTAAAAAATGACTGTATAAAATTATATGATTATATAGAGTTTGTGATTATATAGGAGTGATTATATTGAGATATAACTGTATACCTTTTTATACGCTATACTTTCCTATTTCCACTTCTATTTTTTTCACTTTCCCAGGGCTTTAAAACTTTCCTTAGCTAAAACACACTAGATTCTTCCATGCTTGGACCTTTCTATAAGGTGCTGGGAAAATCTATTGTAGATCTTTCGCTTCTGGTGTGTTTGTGGTGATTTCAAGATAACGTTCTCTTCTTTTTGATTTATTTATTACTTTAGGTTCTTCCAATAATGATTTAAGATAAAGTTTTCTTTGGTCTTGGCTTTGCAAAGATATTTCTATAGTGAATGAACTTTGCTCAGGAACCTTTACTGATCTTGGATATATACGGTGTGAGATTTGTGAGCCTTGCGTTTCTGGTGAGTTTTTTCGGGCAAGGTTTTGCTATTTTTATATGTCTTTTGTTTTAATTTTTACATTTTCTAAAAAAATTTTTTTTTTTTTTTTATAATATATTCCCATTTTAGATTTAGATTTGCCGGCTCTTTCTTTTTTTTTAGAGATTTGGTCTAACTTATTTTCTTGGGATTTAGAGGTTCAAGATCTTTTGTACCAACTAGTAAAGATCTCTATATTACAATGTCATATTGGATCTTTTTTTTGTCTTCTGTTTTGGCTCTGGTTTTTATTTTACTGGGCCAGGCTATTTTTCTTATGATTTTTCAGTGAGTTGTTGTCTGCTTGGCCTTTTTCTCTACTGATTTACTTTTCTATTATGAACTACTTTTTATAAGATTCTTGTAGGGCAGACTTTAAAGTCTTTTGGTTTTAATATTGTTGGGTTTCTTGAGGCAATTCGGATCTTTCTTCACTGAGATCTGTTTTTACATGTCTTGCTACATTTGTAAGTTTTCATCTCTGTTTTCTGCTTTTTTTTTTTTTATCTTCGGATTTCAGATAAAAGTTCCTTTTCCATCTTTTAAGATCTTTAGAGTCTTTCGTTTCAGTTGAGTGAATATTTTCTTGAAGACTTTTTCAGACTGGCTGAATTAGAGTTCGAATTCATTGTTGCTGCAGTTAAATATTGAAATTCTGTCTGGGTCTTCAAAAGGCAAATATGGGGCCCAAGTACTGTTAGTTATTTTGTTTTGTTTATTTCTTACTTCATTAAAGTTTATTTTTTATTTTTATTTTTTATTTGTTATATACTTGGCTAACAGTCTTTCTCTTTTGACTGTTTTTGTTTTTAGGTATTGCTAATAGTATATGTATGTCGAGTTTATTATACTTTCACTATGAGCCATTTTTTCAGGGACTTGTTATTCTTTTCTTGTGTTACTATTATTATTTATACCAGGATTAGGGTTTTACAGAAACTTAGCAGAATCTAGATTTCTTTTCTTGGACGTAGATGTGAAGTTGCAGAATTAAGTATAGGCATTGGGTTGTTTTTTTTTTTTTTTATCTTTACTAATACTTTTCTCTTTTTTTTTTTTATTTAAAAGAACTTCACTTGACATAGAGCGATATTACAAAAAATAATAGCATTAAAGTAGAAATAGAGCAGGACTAGATTTCTTGTTTGTTGCTTTGGGATGAGAAGTATTAATGGAACCAAATGCATACGTGGAGCTTCCAAGGTATAGTAGAACTGATTAAATTGTAATAGTATATCCAGAGTTGGTCTTGTTGTTAAAGAATTATGGAGAAATGAGTATAGAGTTTTCCGAAGTGTATCCTTTTTACATATCATGTTTGTTCTTTGTTACTGTGTTTCATTATTCTACTAATGTTTAATTTTAAAGTTTAGAATGTTAGAATATAGAGCAAAACATATCAAGCTATAAACGTATGAACTGAGATTTCTTTTAGAAGTGGTGTATCCTTTTAATATGCATCTTTGCTTTGTTTTTTTGTTAATGTACTTTCCTATTAACATTCTTTTTAGGGTCAGATATTAGGTACAAAATATATAGGATATGAAATGTATGTTGAGCAAAACATATAAGGATGTGAATACTCGAATTGGGACGTAAATGCGGGAATTGAAATGTAAATTGGGAAAAATAGTTTAGGGTGGAATTTGGAACTATTGAGATATGGTGAGCGATATATAAAATGTAAATACAAAACTTGAGTATAAACAAATTTAATAGGATATATGAGATTGGATCATTAGTGTAAAAACAAATATGATAATTCTTTGCTGAATTTCTTTATGTAGGCGATCAGTGGTCCTGTCGTTGTCACCAAATATGATGAAAATTCCAGATATTCTATTAAAAATACCAAAAATTAGATTGCAATACATGCTGGAGAAATGGATTTTACATGAAAGGCATCGGACAAAGATCATTTTTGTAATTATTTTGTAATTATGTATTTATCTAATAAAGAATTATAGAATTTGTATTGAATCTATACTGAACTTGTTATTACAAAAAGGTAAAAATACTGCTTTTAAATACATGATTTAGAGAAAAAGTAAAAGAAATCTAATAGGTTTTCTAAAAATAAGTGGGTTGTTTTGGTTGTATAGGTTGTATAAACCTTACAGAGTGTGTGGGTTGTATAGGATACATAGATCTTGTAAATATATATATATGGATCATAGACTGCATATAGGCTGCAATACTCCTATATGAGGTAAGTTAACTAATTGTAATACACAAATAAAAGAGGTAATTGTCATGTGCTAGAAAAATAGTTACATGCTATAAACTAACTACTATAATACTATAGTACTATATTTTTATTACAATATTAAGTATGAGTTGTGCTTGTGTTCGATATATATAAATTGTAGTTGATCTATTAAAATAGAGGTATTAGACAAAGCATCATTTTGTAGTTGTTGGAAATATATAAAAAATAATAGCAGGGTGATTGAAGAATTGAGTATATTTTCAAGTATTGATATGTGGTGTGATTGTTGTAGTTGGTAGGCATTTATTAATACATAAGTATGTGGATAGAAAAGAAGAAGGTTGGAAATATGTCAAGAAATTGTTGTTTTGTGTTTAACTGTAGTAGTGTATCACTGTATGAGGTGCTGGCAGTTTGTTGAGTTCAGGTAAGTATTGATAAGTTGGTAACATAGTTTAGAGAGTATACAATATTTATAATATAAATAGTTTGTTTTTTAGTGATCTTTGCATAGTTGAGTTTGTTGAGTTTTGTGCAGAATTCTTGTTTAATTTTATAAACAGTCAGTTGTTAATAGTATGATCAATATATGTACCAAGAAATTTGAATATTTGAGTTGGTGGTAGGTTGCATATGGGTTGGTTTTAAAAAAGGATTGAGAAGATGTCATTGGTGTTATTATGAAATAGTATAGATTTGCTAGAGTTGATAGTGATTTTTGCTATTTGATAAAAAGAGGATGTGATTTCAAGTATTTGTTGGAGTAATATGTGATTGGAAAAGATCCATGTAGTGTTATCCATATAAGCAATTACATTGGTAGTAGTGGAGTGTGTTTATGTTAGTAGAGATAGTATATTCTAATGTAGATTTTGCAATGCAGCTAATAAGAGGGTTATAGTAAATACACCAGAGTATTAAAAAGATTGTTTTGTCTTAATCTATACTATCTTCAATATTGTAAAGTAGTGTTTTGCCAATAGATATAATACCTTGATTTTGTTAAAAGGAAAAGATTTTAAATATTAGATTGGTAAATTGAGGTGATATACCAATTTGGTAGAAGGCTTTTTTCAGTAGTAGTTGTGTACAGTATCATAAGCTTTGAACATGTCTTGTAATAGTATTTAAAGCTTATTTTTATATATATATATATCTTTACGTAGATGGGTAATATATTAAATAAGTTGGAGTGTGGAAGTTAAGAGGAGTGTAACATTATTTGTAGAGTCAAGTAGGTTATTGTTTATGAAAATGGAATTGAGGATGTAGTAAATATTTTAGTAAAGATTTTGTAAACATGTTTAATAAATATTATGTAATGGGTTTTAGAGAGATTTTAGTTAGTACCCTTTTTTGAATATGGCTTATACCAAGTCTCTGTGCCATACCTTAGATATTATTTGTAGGTTAATACAAGCATTGAATATTTTGACTAGTGTGAGTATTGCAGTATATGAAAGTTTTTTAAGCATTTTGTTTAAGATAAATAAGGGGCCTGTAGCTTTGTTATTAGGTGCAGTAGTTAGAATCATTTAAATTTCATGTGTATTTATTGGTGCTAGGAGTGATATATATATAGAAGAGGTAACTTGTAGCAATTCATAGTGCTGTTTCTATTCTGTCTAGAGTATAAGATCAAAAAAATTGAACTTGGTTCAATTATAAAAATGTTATACAGTTGCTTGTTTGATTTCCAGAGGATTAGTAAGTATTGTAGTAGGTGTTTTAATATTGTGAAAGGTAACAGAGAGTTGATATCTATATAAAATGCTATTGATTATTTTGGTAATATTGCTTTGAAAATAAGTATAGTATTTATTAATAAAGAATTAAATTTAGTTTTATTTTTGATTGTTGTTTTTGATATTCCTTGCTATATATAATATTGTTCGAAGCTATTTGAGATATTTTTTTGTATTGATAAATAAATTGTATTTGAGATCAGTAGGTTGGAGATGCTGATTAGTTGCTTGAGTAAGAATGTTAATCTTATTAAGGAGGCTGTTAATTGTAATGACAATATGGTGAATAACAAACGGGTTGGAGTAATTGAGTATATTAAAAATGTGATGAATGTGTTTAAGTGCACAGTATAGGGAGCTAGCTTTGAAGGAGTAAGCATAGAAGATGTAGGAGTTAGTATAGATATATAGAATAAATTTGTCTATGGCTTGCTTGATGATATTATTTAGGTTATTAAAAGTTTTATTAAGCTGATCTGTATTGGTAATTTGTTGTTAATAGTGGAAGAAGGTTGATAGATGAGTTGAGATAAATCTAGCAAAATTTTTTTAGAGTTTGAAAATCATACAGTTATAATTATAAATTTTTTAATATTGTTTTTTATAATAAGTGTTTTTGTATAGAAGTTGTGTGCTAAGAGGTAGTTAATATTTTGTAGTTACTGTTAGTGATGTTAGTTGGGTCTAAGAGAAGTAGTGTAGTAAATGAAAGTGCAATTTTGGAGTTAACCCAAATATTATCAATTTGACTAGATAGCTAGTTCCTGTTCTAAGTAGGGTTAGTAATATGATATAGTTGTAGTAGCTAGTGGTTGAAAGATACTGAAGTAGAGGCTATATTTGAGTGGTTAGTATTGCAGTTAAAATTACTAGCAATAATAATATTTATGTTTTAGGATCATCCATTATTAATCCAAGAGATGATCTGTTGCTAGATAGTTCTTGGTGATAGTAGATAGGTGGATATAAAATGAGTTTTATTATTAGAGAAATAGAAATCATTAGAAGAGCAATACCAGGTATGATGCTAATTTTGTGAATATATAGTTGGAGTGTTAGTTTAAGTACTATTGCAATGCCTTTACACGATTTGCATATATTTGCATTAGTTTGATCACAGTTTGATGTGTAAATCTTGTAGAGAGAGTTGGTAAGTGATGTGGGTAGTGCTCCTACGGACCGGACCTGAACCAGAATTTAGTCAAGTCTGAGTCTGGTTTGATTTTCAGACCGGACTCAGACTTTTATGTTCAGACTTTTTAGCCAAGTCTGAGTTTGGTTTGAGTCTGGTCCAAAGTCTGCAGACTGGTCTGAGTCCGAATATATTTATATGTAGTAGTTGAATTCGGGTATATTCAAAAATTTTTTTTGCATTATATAGTTTTCTAATATACGTGTCTTATAAATATATTTATCTAATCGATTCTAGTCTAATTTTATTAGCTTCTAAAAACTAATTTTTGATTTCATTATCATCCTTCTGATCTATTTCACCTAACCAATATGTAATTATTTCGACAATTTCTTTTGCATTAAGCTATTTATCAAGATCTTTATCCATACATTTCATAGCTAATTTAATAATTCTTAACGCAAGATGATTATTAAAAGAAATTCCATCAAATGCTCTTTGTCCGGTCGAAATCTCCATCACAATGACTCAAGACTATAACTATCTACTAAAGTATACAGTTGACCCATTAAAATCTCAGGTGCTATATACAGCAGAATTTCACAAATTTTTTCTTCCACCACTTTGTTAGAAAGTTCAAAATCAGTGATATTAGCAATATCCAAAGTTTCTTGTAAAATTTTTCCACTTTGTAAATCTCTGTGAACGAGTTTTTGAGAATAAATCAACTCAAGATCCAAAGCTATATCTTGCAAAATATTTAATTTATCTTTTCATTCTAATTGTGATGCTTCTACAAGATTTTGCTATAACAAACCTTTTAGCATAACAATAATATAATCCTATAATTATTTCTTTACATTCCCAAATAATACAAGAATGAAGTATTTTGATATCAAATTTCACAGTGATTCTTCA